GGTGCGCGGGGGGGGGGGTGCAGCTAACTGCCCAAAGGTTAGCTCATAGACAAAAAATAGAAAATCAAGAAAAAATTACGAGCCAAGAAGTGTCTTCCTAACAGTATTGATTCAACTATTAACAATAATTTAGTTTATGAAAACACACTTAGTATCCGATATGTAATCTGTATAAACATGGAAGTTGTTAAATGTGGCAAACTCTATTTACTGTGAGTGTTCTGTCCCCACTACACATTACCCTGTGGCCTGTATGGCTCGGCATGCAGCTAAACCCTCTTATTCTGCAATAAGCCAGACTGAGTGAAATCTTGAAGCTTTATTTACAAAACAGGGTGGGGTGAAACTGGTGAAAGAACACACACATATAATCAATATATGAAACATGCAAATACAGTGTCAGCTCACAAATATATAGATAAATAAGTCCTCCCTTACCAACGATGCTGCCATAGAGGGATATGGGTTCTATTCTCCAGACATGCACGGAGGATGGTATTGCATTCTCTTTTCCTCTGGTCTAAAATGGAGGCTGGATTCCCAGAATGCCCTAATTTGCTTCTCTTTGAGCAGAAGGAAGCTGAGAGGTTTGCCATAGAACAGTGGTCGCCAACCAGTGGTCCTCGAGAAAATTTTAGTGGTTCCTGGGCCCCTCTGATGCCGTTCAGGCTAGGCTGTCATTGAAGCGGCACGGAGGCTCCGGGGCAGCCACTCACTGACTCAAGCAGCCGCTGTCACAAGGAATGCACGGCTCTCAGTACAATGCCGGGCATCTCGTCAGTACCCACACTGAGCAGGCTGAGGGACATAGAAAAAGTGGGGAGAAGCCAGGTAATAGTGGCTCAGTGTGGGGGAAAGGGAGGCACAGGGTTGGTTGGGGCAGTGCTGAAGCAAGGGGGGGCATGTGCCCCGGGCGCCGCCGGCAGATTCGATAGGGGGGGAAACAATCAATATTACTGGGGGGAGGCGGCAGCATCGCTACCTCCACCAGCACTGCCACTCCTGCAGGCACACCCACACCTACCTATGTATGTATGTGTATATATACTGTATTTATATATAGTTATATTCTCATTTTTTGTTTCCTCATATAATTATATTCGCGTGTGCAGATACACACACACTGTTGAAACCTTAAATCATAATGATCATTTACAATATGATAAATATTTATATATTTCAAAGGGAGTGGGCCATATATTTCAAAGGGAGTGGGCCAATTAACTAGTGTAAGAGGTCCAAGGGGTAGCTGGAGATCAGGACAGACCAATTTGTATTCATTTCAAAAGATTTATTGATTATAAAAGTAGAAAAAGAACACAGCCAACATCTTGCAGAAAATCAATTAAAAACAATGTGACAGAACTGTGCAAACAGCATCAATAAAATTCAGTAGGATACATATACCCTCAAAGTATATTCAGACACATCAGTATCTCGATCAGAAATCAGCTTCTAAGTTTAGGTATATAATATATTCTCAGGCAGGATTAACCCTCTCATCACTTTGGCATATCGGCAGGAAGAAGAAAGGACAAAAATGTGTTAACTCGCATTTTTCAAAGATCATTCGGTTCTATAATGGGGGGTTTTCTTATCGTAGAAAGCGACTTTTAGTCCATGTATTCCCATGATGTATGGAATAAATACTTTGTAACAAGAGGTTCCTCAAAGTGACACAACGGTTCCAACAGTTCCTTTGGTTGGTATATCCCAAAGTAGGAAAGAAATAATTTTTCCCCACGGGGTGAATGACGATTCTAATTCAATTAACACATTTAGGATGGAGTGTTAGTATATATAAATCCGGTGTAGCATGTGTCTTCCCCTTATTGCTGTAATGGTGAGGGGGTGTTCATTCAAAGACCGGGATATTGTTCACTTAATTGCCCTGATCGGGACTAGTTTTTTTCCCCCTTGGCTATGTCCCAAATCGACCCCGGTTCCACATATTGAAATTCTATGGAATGGTAGGAAATCAGGGGTGCTTTGTTCGATGAGCGATTACGGTAATCCAATATGCGTCTCAAAGGCAATAAAAGCGCTACGGATCCAGACACATCGACTATGTGTCAAATATGCTGAGGGTTATCCTACTATTGCGTGCTCAGCGTCTACGCGTTTCGCCCCTCCCCCAGGGGCTTCGTCAGGACGTCCAATACAAATTGGTCTGTCCCGATCTCCAGCTAATCCTTGGACCTCTTACACTAGTTAATTAGCCCACTCCCTTTGTTTTTTCCACTAATTTACTGGTTACGGATCAGGTATACAGACCAAAAACAAGGGTCACTAACTCTGAGGATTAGATCTCCAGTAGTAAAACAACCTCTTTTTTACGATAGTTATATATTTCATTTATTGAAGTAGGCCCTAGATTTTCTAAGTGCGTGGAAGAGTATCTTATTGATTGCCTCCAGATGTGCTTATTCCGCTTAGTCTGAGAAGTTTGAGAAAGGTCACGGAAAAGGTCAAGAAAGGTCCTAGGTCACCATTTCAGAGGATGGATAATTAGGCTGCATATGTAATTGATACTTCTATGTAGGGATGTCCCGATACCGATGCTTGTACCGGTATCGGGGCCGATACAGGGCATTTTCAGGAGTACTTTTTTTAACTAGCTTCGGCCATTGACCCCCATATCCCCTCCCGCGGAATACCTCTCCACCAAACGAGGCTCCCTCTCCGCTCTGACCTCTCCGGAAGTGTGACAGTATGGCGGGGGTAAGTGTTGTGTTGACAGTCTCTTCTCCCTGCTGGTGCTGGCTGCAGAGCTTTGTGTCCCTTTCACAGACCTCTGTAGCCAGCATGAGAAGGGAGAAAAGACTGACTGTGAAATCCCCCGCTGCCCCCCTCCCCCCTGTATCTTAGCTGCTGCTGCTCCTCCGTGCCCCGTCCTTTTCAACTTTATGAATCGGTTTCCTTTTGGTGATATATGTCAGTGTGAGATGCCCGTGCTCCTTGCTGCACAGCAGTTTTCACTCTCATTGTAAGAAGAGAATGTCCATTCAGTGTGCTCACGGGGGAGAGAAGCTGTAAATCTTTCCTTCACACATTATGGATCTTCTCTTCTTTCATTGAGAGGGAAAACTTCTGTGTGGGTCTGGTGAGAGCATTATTAAACACATAAGGAGCATGGACATCTTACACTGGGATATACCACCAAAAGCAAACAGTTTCATCAAGTGGAAAAGGAATAGACACTGGTAACAATAGACAGCCTGCTATTGGATATTTTAAATTGCAATAGACAATACCAGGCTGGCTATTGTACTCTCACCCCCCCCCCCCACTGGCTGCTGTCAATCAGCAGAGAGGACCTGATTGAGAACTTAGTCTTCAGTTCCCCCCTTTGCTGATTGACAGCAGGCAGTGGGTGGGTACAATAGCCAGCCTGCTATTGGCTATTGCAATTTAAAATATCCAATAGCAGGCTGGCTATTGCTCCCAGCCACTGCCTGCTGTATTTACATTCAGTGAATCCAGTCAAGTAGAAAGGTGACACTAGAGGTCTAAAAGACCCCTAACGTCACCTTAAAGAGAACCTGTCACCTCCAATGCACGCAGCCCTGGTGAGAAACTGCCCTAAAATCATTAGTCTGTATTGTTTTAGAAAAATGTTGCATGTCCCTTTAAGAAAAAGTATCGGTAATTGGTATCGGCAAGTACATGAGGGACAGTACTTGTATTTGTACTTGGTCTTGAAAAAGTGGTATCGGGGCATCCCTACTTCTATGTAATCTATATTCAGTTTATTTTAATATTTCTTGGGATTATCGTTACTATCAATATATGTAGAATGATGGACAGGTAGAGAATTCTTCAGTTAATGACATACAGAGATTTGTAACAGATGTTTGACAATAGCTGTACTATTCACATTGAGTAGTTCAACATATATAAGGATCGGATGACACTAGGCGGGAGGGAGACTATGATATTTATAATTGGTGCAGGGCCATTCTTGGGAGATCTCTACACGGACTTACAAGGGACACTTGCAAGACATACAATCTCATTACACAAAGATTAACATCACTTTTACATACTTTGCTACATTTTACAAACACTTTTCTTTTATTCATTTGAACACTTTTGTATTTTGAACTATTATCTATCTACATATTTGTGTATGCTTTTGCACATTTCTGTGTTGTTTTGATGACTTTATAGAACGAAATAAAGTCACACTTATTTCTTACTGGCCGTTTCAGCAAGTTTCTTATACAATCACCTCAAGACACTTGGAAATATTAAGTGTCTAAATATCTAACACACACCAAAACCAGTTTCACCTGGCCAGCTCTTCTGTGTAAATCACAGCTATCAATTTTAAATTATTGCATTAGTGAAATAAATGAACTTTGCACGATATTCTAATTATTCGAGTTTCACCTGTATTTACCGATCCTTCCCTGTACTGAACAAACACTGAAGTGATCAGTACTAACC